ATTATATACGCGATTCAAATAAATATCTATAATTATACAAATAATATCTTTCAATTAAAGGGGTTCAAACAATGCGCGAGACATCTGCCACGTTTTAGGCAAACTAAAATAAGGGATGATTTCGCAATACAGTGCCATCTGTTCGGGGGTTGAAGAAACCTGGGAGAAATTTGCACGTAGTTAGTAGACAACGTTTCGCTATTGATTTGAAACCGCTTTGCCGAAGATGCTGGCATGCTGCAGATGCTCGTATCCAATGTGTTTCCATCGTCATCCTTTTAACCGATCATCGTTAACATTTGCGTCATCGTTTGTCGACATCTTATTGCGATAAGATTTTTGTAACAGAAGATATAATCCACACACATATTAATCCGTGTTTAATTATCCAGAAAATTTATAAAAATAAGTCTGACCATATTCTTGTAATTAATTGTTGATGCTTTATAAGTCTTAGAGTTAACAAGATGAGCTAGCGAATAAAACAATTAATTTTTGTTTTTCCTTGTTTATTTCTTTGAATTTTATAATTATATAGAACACAATTTAATATTTAATTTTCGAAGTTTATAATTTGTGATTAAAATTTAGTGTTTGAGTTATCTTTTTTACTTGAATGGTAAGACTCAATTTAAAATATAAACTATAATGTAAATTTTGATTCAACTAAATCGAACATTAAGATTTTATTATCTAATTGTCAGTTGTACAAATTTCTTAACTTTTAGTAATTCCGTAAATAATTTTATATTTTACGTTTTGATTTCACAGAATTTAATAAGAGCGAGTACTAGCCCTATTGTTACATACGTTCTCCAGGACACCCCGTATTTATCATGCAATCAACGAAGTCCATTACGGGGGCGCGAGAAAACGCCGCGGCATGCAAGCGCGGCGATCACGGACGAGAATTAAAATTTATCGCGTAATACGATCTGTCGAGGGCCGGATTTACGAAATCGTGCGCGATGTACGTACATACATATATGCACCCTTCTTGCGCGAACGCATAATAAACCGCGTCGCAAGGGCGGATCGCTCCCGCGCGCGAATTTCCGCCGAGTCACGCGGAGGGGTGAAACTTTCTCCATGGCTTTTTTTCTTTCTCTTTCTCACGTCTTCGCCTCTTTCTTCTCCTCTGCTCTCTCTCCCATTCTCCCCCGTTAATATTCGCACTTACGTAGCTGCCGTCTCGCTCTTACTCTCGTTCCTCCATACTCCTCCTCCCTCCTCGTTCTTCGGCTTCCTCTCATGTCCTCCCCCTCTCACTAGTAATGTTCCTGGTAGCACGCTCTCACCAGCCAGACCAGCCGCGGCAGTTAGTGGCTTAACGAGGTTATTTCACGACGTCGGGTGGGTGGGCCATAGGTCGCGCGAGAATGAATAATGATTCGTTCGTGGGGCCGACAAGCGACCTCGCTGCTCCTTGACGTATACGGGTAATACACGCTGGAAACGCGCGTGAATCGGGGATATGGCGAGGATATGGCGTACAACCGTTGTAGGGCCCTAAGAAGCGGACGTCCGAAAATCTAGGAGCTCCCGGAAGAAATCAGCCGAATTACTAATCTCCCGTTTATCGCAAATGCTGCTTCTGTGTAAATTACATTTCAGGCAACACGGTCACAGTTATTACAATATTATTGTATAATTTGATCACGTGTGCATTAATACCTTAGCATTTTTTAATATGTGACAGCGAATGAGCATTGAGATAAATTTGGATTAAAAATTTTTTTTTATCGTACACAAATAGCTTTTTGTGTTTATCAAGAGTGAATTTGCATTCTCCTGAAAATAACAGGATTGACTGAGATAACAATTATCTCTTGCACAAAGTTCTTTGTCGCACGTTGTCCATTTTTAAATACAAGTTTCGGTCGTTACACACATTACGTGTTGTGGAAACGTGATCGTCAAACACGACCGTTTGAATACCAGGAACAAAAGCGAGAAAGAACTCGCGAAGCGAGAGAATCGAACGGAGGGTTCCGCAGCGAAGATAAGGCAGCGGCAGGAGCAACCTGGTCCTTCGAAGCCGCGCGCTGCGTTCTTTGTTGCGAAGCGCAATAATTGCGCGGGAGGGCGGCTTGCCAGCGGCGGCGCTCGGGGGTAGCGGCCAGGCGCTCAACTCTGGAATGGAGAGGGTCCCGGAGGGGGTGACAGCACGCGCCGGAACCGGAACCGAGAGTCGTGTGTCCCCGCCGTTCCCGGGCGGAACTATCATGATTAGTCACGGGGCTTGCAACGAGCCGTAGGAGAACTGTGCGAGCAGAAAGACGGAACCCTGCGGGGATACCAAAATCGGCCGTGCGCGATCGACCTGAACGACACAAAATGAGAATGTGTGTGTGAGAGAGAGAGAGAGAGAGAAAGAAAGAAAGAGAAGGAAGGGAGAAAAATAGAAATGATGACAGAGGGATAAACTCGCGAGAATACTATTATATATCAACTACATGCATTTAATATTGATGAATTATAAAAACGTAGCTCTTTCTAAATAAAATTGTCCTATATTGACCAAAATGCAATAAGTAAAATGTTAAAGGTTAATCTTGAAAATAGAAACATGATTAAAATATCATGAATATTGATTAGAATTAGATTGCACAATATTAATGAGAGAGAAAGAGAGAGAGAGAAGAAATAAATAAATAATATACAAGAAATTAATATTTAATAATTTGATATTTATGTATTGTATTTTAGATATAATTTTTGAGAAAATCAGAATAAAATGCAAAATTAAAAATTATTTTGCACAAGAAATATATAATAGAAAACAAATGTTAAAAAGTTTAATTAGATTAGATTAGACAAAAATAAATATACGAAATACTATAAAAAATATTTATAAAAAAATTGTATTATTTAATTCGAATGATTAATATTCTTAAAGTATTCTTGTGTGTGAATTAACTTCCATTAATAAAGTAAAAATCCGCACATTATTAGTATGCCCAATTACTCCGTGAGTAGGAGTTGCGCTCGGTTCAAGGAAAAATCTTGCACAAGGACGGAAGTCGAGTCTCGTCTCATGTCTGAGGGTTCTTAATGTATTCTTTCCATTTTTTAAAAGCGAGACAGTAACGATTCTCTGACCCTTAGTCAGAGACCCCCGAATGCTGGGAACGAGGGTGGACTAGTCGCAGTTACCGGTGCCGCTGGTAGCGGAAGCGAAGGGGCTCGCGGAGGTTCATGGATAAAGGGCAAAAGGGATCACGCGTAGAGAGAACCGAGGGGGCTGACAGATCATAGTGCCGGCGTAGGGTGTTCAAGACCCATAACCACCCCCTGGGTTAACCGATACCGGCAATTATCAACGCGTCTCGGTCACTGTAATCCTCCCTTCTTTGACGCTAAGTCACATCTACACATCAGATGTTCTGAAATTAATCTCCTGTGCGAAATTCTTTATACTCTTATATCATTGACAAAGGAGAATTAATTTTTTTGGTATGTATTTATTTTACAAATATACCTTTTGTTTCTTTATGTAAAATATAAATAAAAAAATATCTATTGTCAAAAGATTAATTAGAGATTTTTAATTTAGAAAAACATAAAAAAATATTATATAATGTATTCACAAGTAACTTACCGTTTTCTAACAATTTTTGTTAGTGCAAAAATGATTAAACTTTAACATACAATATTCTGGTTTTTTTCTTTCTTTCATTTTATGAAACTGTTATAGAGTTAAAAATTTAGTTTATTTTACGTTTAAACTTTGCATTTAAACGTAAGTACTGAATATAAATGAGAATAGTAAGAAACAATTTCTGTTCTCTGTAGACGAGTAAATTTCTATAGTAAGGAGTAGATATAGATGGAATGGGAGCTCTCTTTCATGTACCATCGTTTAGAACGTTCTCTCAATATATTCCGTGCAATTAGATAGATGAGAGGCAACATTACACCCATACGTACGATATGAAGTATCGTCATTTAGAACTCCTCCCCGTTAAGGGATGCTGAAGTGTCAAGGTTAAGAAGATCGTCACTTTGATTTTTAACAATGTTGCAGAATGGCCGTATATTCCGTAAAAATTAATTAAAAATTTAAGTGTAATTGTCAACTACAGAATCAATCGCAAATTTTTTTTTCTTTGAAATATTATCATAAGCTAATATTATAAAAAACATCGTTTTTATGTCTTATCTTATTTAATATATGCGTTGTGATTACTAAGCATTTCTAATTTCTCCATTTTGTATTCAAATTTAATGTTCTTGATTAGATGCGACTAAATATTTCAAGATAAAAAATCGAAAATTAAAATTCTATCGCACTCGAATCGGTAAGATTTCGATCGTTTATGGTGAATTAAATTCACATCTATTAAATTAGAGAGACTAGATGAAATAGATGTGCGTCCCTAAGTGCGTCGTTTATTACTCATGTTAAAAAGGTTAACGCGTGTGCATTGACAAACATGATGTCGGCACGCGTGTCACCTCGTCTTGTCAAACATCAATTACGTGTGCAAACAAACCACCCGAGGGATGGTGCTTGACCGACAAACATTAAATACATGCATTACCCTGAGACATGCTGACACAATGACCGACACTTCCGTTGCCCTTCAACCCTGTTGGTGCTAGTGCAGATTACATGACAACAGAAGTTAAAAGAAATAAACGTAGAAAATATTTGTACTTAACATTTACATTTTCATCATTTCAATGCAATCGTATCTCTGTAAATATTTTTCCGAAATAGCTTCCGTGCGGAAATAAATTTTTGATTAGTTGCAATTTTTGCAACCCTACGAAAAATAATTATAAAGATAAGATATAAAATTCTAATTAAAATAATTTTTTATAAATATTAGTCAATATATATATATATATATATATATATATATATATATATATATATATATAATAATAT